ACAAAATTTATTTAATTTACTGTTTGTATTTTGAGAACGATTTCCGAAGTGGAAATTAAAACGTCAATAAAACTTATTTTTACCTTTAATTGTGGCTTATTTTCCAGTTAAATAGTAAATGATAATAATTGCTTTCGTAAAAATTTAAATTTTTAATAATTAACAAATTGTAAATTTTAGATTTTAACTTTAGCTGTCATCTTAATTGTTGTTTTAAATTTAATGTTAATTTATGACAGCTCGTTTTAATATTGTTAATATTGATTTGTTTTGTTTTTTAAAAAAAGGTTAACTTCCATGCAATTTTGTAAGTTTTGTAGCAACAGAGTTTGTAAACGGCTAGGACACATGTAAGTTTCTTTTGTATTTTTATATTTTGTATATTTGAGGTAATATTTTTTGCGTTGTCTTATTATTGTAACTGTTTGTGGTGACACAACAATAAATGTTATATTTTGTTTCTTAACATTTTGTCTATTTTTTTTTTAAATTAATCCCTTTTTTTTAATAGTAGGGTAACAGGGGGAGTGATTGGCCTCTAGGGATTTATTGGCCACTTCTCATTCAAACCGTTTTATTAAGAAATCAAAACAATTGGAAGCATCTCCCATAAAATCGTTAAAATATGGCAACCCTTTTTATTTCGTTACAGCAAACCGTTAAAAATTTGGCAACGTGGCTTTAAAATAGCGGGAAATTGTTTGTGGCGTTGATACTGTGTCTGCCGAACGAGTGAAAATCTTTGTGATAAGTTAGTAACTGGAAGCTGTAAATGTGAGTACACTATGATATTTTTTAGCTGAGCTGTTGTTTCAATCATTTGTTTACTGAAAATAAGTATTGGGGAACCAAATGAAACAGTTTTTAACACTCTAACCTCTAAAATACTGTATTTATTGCGTGGCCAATCACTACAAAATATTTTGGTAAAATTCTAGTTATTGGCCATGTGGCCATTTACTACCAAAAATACCTCCGACGTAAAATATGTTTTGTTTATGTGAAATCAATATTAAATAATCACAGTATCTTAACAGAGACGTTATTAATACTATTAAACATGCTATGTGAGTCGTTGGCCGGTGGCCAATAACTACAATATACAAAGGCCAATCACTGACCGTTACATTATTTTCAGATTTTCTGCAAGATGCCGAAAGTTAAAGAGGGCACTAGTTATTCAAAAAAATATTCCGAGGAGGATATTCAAAAGGCTTTAAAAGAAATAGCAGCTGGAGTAGCACTTCGAGAAGTTGCTAAAAAATATAAAGTACCCAGGGCCACACTACAATTTAGACGAAGTTTAAAATTTAAAAAAACTAGTTTAGGTCCAAATCCTTATCTCACTAATGAAGAGGAAGTGGCTCTAGTAAATTGGGCTATAAATAGTTCAAAAAAAGGGTTTTCCAGGCGTAAAGAAGATATCCAATTATCTGTTAAAGCATTCCTTGACAAAATCCCTAGAAAAACTCCGTTTAAGGACAACTGCCCAGGAGAGGATTGGTATAAATCATTTTTAAGACGTCACCCAGTTTTAGCTGAACGAACTTCAGAACCTGTTACATCGGCAAGTTCCACTATTGCAGAGAAGGATATCCGAAAATGGTTTTCAGATATTTATTCTTATCTCACTTCAAAGGATTATAACCATATTCTTACCGATCCATCAAGAATATTCAATGCGGACGAGACTTGTTTCAATCTCTGTCCTAAAACGTCTACGGTTTTAGCTCCAAAGGGTTCGAAGAACGTTTACGAGGTTGAGCACGCCTCTTCCAAACAAAATATTACTGTGTTGTTTACTTTTTCTGCTGATGGTGTGGTTACTCCTCCTCTAATAATATTTGCAGGCAAAAGACTTAAGTCACAAGTTTATGAATCCATACCAAAAGAGTGGGGTGTAGCAACATCTCCTACTGGTTGGATGAAATCAGAGATTTTCAATGATTACATTAGAGATGTTTTTCATCCTTATTTACTGGAAAAGAAGATTAAATTACCAATTATATTATATATAGATGGACATAGTACGCATGTTACATTCGACGTCAGTGAGTTATGCAAAAAATTGGATATTATACTAATTTGTTTGTATCCCAATGCCACACGTATACTCCAGCCAGCTGATGTAGCTGCATTTAAGCCCATTAAAACAGGATGGAAAAAAGCTGTCCTTGCTTGGAGAAAAGAAAATCTTGCAGATTCATTGACAAAACATAAGTTTGCACCTATACTAAAGTCTGTGATTGTCGATTATGCTAAAACTGTGACTATCCAAAATGGATTCAAAGCCACTGGGTTATATCCTTTCAACCCAGATTCAATAGACTTTTCGAAGTGCTTAGGAGGCCAAGAAATCAAAACTTTGTCTTTGGAGGATGTTGAAGAACCAGATGATACTACCACAATTACGTATAAAGCATTAAAGAATATTCTCGGAATGCATATTAAGAATATCAATACTGATATCAGAAATGATATTTGGAAGGAGTTCAACAAAACAAAAGGTGATAATATTGCACAGAATTCAATGTTGAATACCGAGGTTGTCGAAAACTTAGAACAAAAAGTTTACGATTACAATGAAGTAAGAAAAGAAATTAACGAAAACATTATAATGCAATCAAATGAATTTATTGAAACGAATATATTGCCTGTTTTTCAAAATAACCAAACTGTTCAGAATTGCAATGAAGTAAGAAAAGAAATTAATGAAAACATTATGATGGAATCAAATGAATTTATTGAAACGAACATATTGCCCGTTGTTCAAAATAACCAAACTGTTCAGGATTGTAATGAAGTAAGAAAAGAAATTAATGAAAACATTATTATGGAATCAAACGAATTTATTGAAACGAACATATTGCCTGTTGTTCAAAATAACCAACATTTGCATTCAGATCAAGAAATTTTATTTAATGTGAACAGTATGCCAATTATATTCACCGGCTTTCCGAACAACGAAAGTATTATTCTGGAAGAAATACCGTTCGATAACATTGAACCTGCCAACTCAGACACAAATTTAAATGCTAGCATTAACGAGCACCTAACGTTACCCCAAACACCAAGGAGGAAAGGAAAAAGAAATAGTAAAAAAACGTCTTTTGTAATAACTGGAACTGTATGGAGAAATCAAAAGAAAGAAGAGGAGGAAGACAAAATTAAGAAGGAACTGGAGAAAAAGAACAGGTTAGAAAAAAGAAAGCAAAAACAGGAAGAGAAGGCTCAGCAAGAGTTAGAAAAGAAAAAGAAAAAGCTAGAAAAAGCCAAAAATATAAAACCATTGCTTAAAAAACGACAACCGAAAAAAAAAGTAAAAGATACTAACAATAAAATTTTGGAAACTCAAAATACTAAAAAACCAATAGAAAATGAAAACGCTCCAGAAACTAGTACCAATAAATTCTTTGCAGAAAAAGTAGAACGAGCTTCAAGAAATTTGTTTCAAGAACGAAATGTCAACATTGTGTCTGAATATATTCTAATGCCATCAAATCAAGACGAAAATTTAGCAGATATTCTTTCAAGTATAGGGCTAGATCTAGACAAAAACAGAAAGAGTGAAAATGGTTTGTGCTACTCGTGTGTCAATGGGATAACATATTCTAATTATGGCTTAAAATGCAATACATGTGAACGATCGTATCATGTTAAATGTATGAAAAAGCACTGTATCCACAAATCTAATTCCCATATCTTTCATTGTTCAACCTGTTTAAAAAAAGTTGCCTAGGTGTATTTTTATTCGCTGCAGTATCATTATATTATTTGTAATATTTTAAATAAAGTAGAAAATCAAATATATCATTATTTGAACTGTTGGTTTCATTTATTTTTGAATTTAATTTTCCAATGTCAATTACTTTCATGAAACCAACCACATACATTTTTTATTACTTTGGAAGTAGGCATTTAAATGATTTAAATACCGATATAAACATGAGGCCAATCTTTGACTTTTTATTGGCCAATCAATGCAATATGAGGGCCAATAGCTGACCAGTTAACTTTGGTTAATAAAAAAATTAGACGAATACCTAAGTGTGTTTCTTTTAATTTCAAGGTCCTGATATTTTAAAAATATAAACATCTTTGAATGTTCTCAATAAATTTCTTACCTATAACTGAAAAAAAAATTAAACATACAGTTATTTTACTGGTTTCAATTAGTTAAAGGGCCAATCACTACCCCTTTTACCCTATCCCAAGTTATTGTTACAAAAATGTCCCCCAGATATGTTTTGATTGTTTAATAATTATTTCCCTAGTTACAACTAGCTGTTGTAATAGTTATAATTAGGCACCTCGAAGTGGCGCCCTATATTAAAGATGTTTCCTGTTTATTTTTATTTTTTTTGTCCCAAGAGATTATATTAGTACCCCTTTTGTTTCTTTTCTCTGTAGTTGCCCCAATCCAACCCCCTTGCCATTTACTTATCCACGACTTCAGCTCTCCTAACAAACCCTGAGTGCCTTTCGCACAAGTAGCTTTTATTTTGCTTACTCTATCTCAGCCTCCATAGTTTCTGCCCCGACTTTTCTACCTCTTATATTACTACCGCATGTGGTAGGCAAAATACTTTCGTTATAATATGATGTTTTGTTTTGAGATTGTTCGAAAAAATGCAAATTGTTAATGGTGAAAAGTGCAATGTAATTTATTTAGAAATAGTACTTGGTCAAGTAGTATTAACAGCAAGTTCTCAATATTATAAGGTTTGTTCCAACATGCAATTTTTGTACGGTCCGGAAACCGTCCGAAACTACTTGTACCATTTTTAATGCACATGTTCATCATTTGTATCGTTTTATGACAGTAATTTGGAAACTGATGTTGGAACGATTTTCTGACAACTTTGTTTGGCAGGTTGTCGCATACCGTGCATAATCTGTGATCCAGGATACTATACGATTTGATTTGCAGGTTATACACGCGGTTAACTTGATATTTTTATCAATTTATAAATACGATACAAATTACAAATACAATAAAAATGTCTCAGAATACCCAGAACGTAGTAATTGGTAAGTCAAAATTATATTAATGATTTATTAATACTAAAATCAGAAATTCTATTAGTGAACTAATTATAACTTTATCATTTTAGAATACATCTCCTTACCGGGAACTTCCCAACAAAACACGGATACGAGTGACCGTAAATGGAGCAGTGACGAGTCAAGGGTTATAATTGACCTATACGCAAAATATAAAGAAAAGGTGGGCAGGTGTGAGATTAAAAATTTAAAAATTTTATGGCAAAGAATAGCCACTGATTTAAATCAAATGGGACTTAATGTAACCCAAAATAACTGCCTAATTAGATGGCGGGTATTGAAACGAGGCTACAAAAAATTTAAAGACAACCCAAGTCAAACTGGACGAGGACGAAAATTTTTCGAATTTGAAAAAGAAATGAATGAGGTGTTTCGGTCGAGACGAAACATTATTTCGGAATTACTGTTAGAGGTGGATACACACCATGAGGTGGACACTGTTCTGGAGACAAATGAAGAAAATGAGGAAGACAGAAAGGAGTCTGAAGTAGAAACAATGACAACCATAAAAACAATGTCAAAGAAACGCAAGAGAAACGAAAGCTTCAAACGAAGAACAAATATGGAAAATGTACGGATTGATAGAAAACATCTTCAAGAGGAAAGGATAAGTGTTGAGAGAGAGAAGGTACAGCAAATGAAAAAGCGCAATGACTTAATAGAATATCGAAATACTCTTTTCGAGAAACTTAGATATATTAAGTACCTAAATAAATTATATGTGTGTGCTTTCGTGTCAATGTCCTTGCGTCTGTGCATTCACTCCTCTTCTCTCCAATATCTTTATAATTATGTCATACTATGTCTATTTTGGTCTTCCTCTTTTTTCATTTGTTGTAGTTCAAAATTATTACTTAAAGATAGTTTTGTATTTCTTGTAGTTTAATTTTTTGTATTTTACTTTAGTTTAATTTAATATATTTTAATTTAGTTTTAGCATAGTATATTATAGTTAAATGTAAGTTAGATTTGTGTTTATTAAACTATATATTATAATTTTTTGACTAAAAGAATTTATTTTACCTACCAATATGTCAGTTTTGTATTTGGATGTTTATTAAGAGAACATTTTACTATTTTAATGGGAATTAACCAGAACTTAAGTTTCAATTTCCACTTCAGAAATAATTCTCAAAATGATTTTGAGAACGATTTCCGAAGTGAAAATTCAAACGTAAATAGACTTATTTTAAACTTCAATCGTGGCTTATTCCCAATAAAATAGCAATTACTTTAAGATATATAAATATATACTAAAATTAAAAATTTGTTACTCACAATATTAATCAATGTTTATTCGTTGTTAGCTCTTCATAGAAACTGTGATTTTTTTATACTAAGTTACGTCTAAAATACATCTAAATAGATACTAAAATTAAAAATTATTATGCACAATATTATATATATATATATATATATATTGTAATAGTTTTGTTTTTATTATTTTTATGTTTTTATTGTTAATAAATATAATTTTAATTGAATTGAAGTGAATTTTAAAAGTATGTAGTTCGTTGTTAATATACTATACCTCGGCTAGCTCAATTATTTGTTCTAAGCAATCTGTCACTGTGTGACGTCAACTCTGTAGTCTCCTGGTAGAGTTCAAAAAGAAATTAAACCAAAATTTACTTTATATTTTTGATAAATTAACCCAAATGAAGCACGTTATTTATTAATATTGAACAAATTTAATATAAACAATAAAATTAGTCTGCAACTTGGGTTGCCTTTAAAAATTTACAAAAATAGGAATCGTGTAAACCTTAATGTGTCGTGAAAATAGAATTTGATTACAAAATGTGGAAACTCTCTACAATTACCTTAAATCTAAATGACTATTGCAACTTTATAAAGTGTTTAAATGAAATATAAAGAAAAGAAAACTGAACACTTTATGCCGCTGACTTATAACTAGCATTAAAATATAATCAAAATTTCAAATGATCCCCAAAATTATTATCCAACTTCACTTTCAAACAGTTCTGATTTTTTTTTTTTTTTTTAAAGAAAACTAACTACTCGCAAAATAATCGGTGAAACTGGAATATCTATCCTCTCTTCGGAAGTTAAAGGTACGTACTATTATATTTTTATTTTAATGATCATTAATATTTCAATTTTTAAGGCCTATCGCAATTAGTTAATTCATGAATTTTTACTTTTTCAATCTAAATGACATTTCTGCACTCCAATTATAATTTATAAGTCAAAATTTCTCTTACTCTCTGGAACAAATTCTGGATATCTCTATTTGAAAATGTGGAAAAACTAAATTATAATTAAACGATTTTAAAGCACTCCCGGACTATTCCACCTTTTTAGGGCTCTTCCTCCAAAATTTTCGTCGCCTCCCACAACCTATTCTTCCTTGTTAACCGCCATAGCTAGCACCAACCACCCAAAATTATTCGTTGCTAACAGCAACCCACTTTCTTTTTTCATTCCGTCTTCTATTTTATTCAACCATAAAACTGTCCTGTTTTGACATATTTGTCAAACCACATTAATTTCTCATAAGCACTTTAATCACATCTAATTTGGGAATTTATAAAAAAAAAATTCAGATATAAAACTTAACAATACTAATATAATTTATTCTTTTCATCTCCACATCATTGTAATTTATTTAACAAAACCCCTATTAATTTAGTTCCCACAGACTTTTGACAGTTTATTTTTCTGACGTTTATTTTTGAAATTTCTATGTTTTAAATAATTTTTTAAGAATTCTTCTTTTTTATTCCTTTTAAGGTTTAGACGATTCACCTATACACTAGGCAACTATACTATTCAGAAATTATTAACACTATACCAGGTAAGTCAAAATTAATTTATTTAGCAATTTACTAATCTTTTCTCCCTTTTATTTCAGAGTCGACCCCACATTGTGATGGCTTCATGAAATTCATGAACAACAAACTCATATAAAAATCCCTTTAAGTTATATCCTCTTTGACCTATTGAAATCATTTCAACTTCCCCCCAATTTGGATTTTGTTCAGTGCTAACTATCAGCACTTACTAAATCTAAATTCTTACCGATAAACTTAAACATTTTATTAATATTAACATAACAATAAACTGACTTTTATTAATAAGCATATCTCTTGAATATTTTTTTTTTAATAATTTACTCTATGAAAAATACAGACTTCTCCAAACAAAATCTACAAATCTTTCACTAATTATATCAACTTCAGAATCAAATTTCCAAGTACTTTCCCAATTTCATTACTTCTTTTCCTGTACTATTTATTTCTCGTACTAATTTCGTAGAAATTCTTATAATTGTTCCCCTCTTTATTTTATGTTTTTATTTATTTATTTATTTCCGCATATACTATTTCAGTATCTTTATTCATTGCCGCATTATTATTTATTCTTTTTATATCCCCATATAATATTCATTTCATCATCTCTACATACAACTCTCTATATTTCATATTTCAATATTTCATATAATTCTATTTTTCATCTTATTTTCGCATATACTATTTATCATTATAATATTCCCTATTTCCCAATTTCTACAAAATATCGATTTGTCCATAGTACTTTGCTTATTTATTTATACTTGTAACTCCTATAAATCTACTTGAAAATAAATCAACCTTTTTTTTATATAAATTTATCATTATTCTGTACATTTGTTCCTAATAAATTATTTAATTATCAAATTTATCTCAAGATATGCTTATTTATTAATTATCCTTCTATTTACAAAACTTATATCTAATAATATAAAATTCGTGTCATAATATTGCCTACCCTTGTATGTTTATTCATAATACTTATAAATTCCCTCTATATTAAATATCCCTCTAATTTTATTAGTTTCTGGATGTCTTAGTTCATAACTGTTTACCCCATGTTCAGTACTAATGACATAAGGTCCTTCAAATGGCAAAAGTAATTTTCCACACAGATTTTCATTCCTTTTAGGCACCTGTAGTGACCTGATAAGTACCTTCTCCCCTTTTTCAAAAATAACTCTTTTCTTTCTCTTCTTATTGATTCTATTTACATAACGACTTGCATTTCTTATTAAATTTTGGTTCACCTTCTTCATTACTTCTTGAATGTCCCCTGTATTACTGATTTCCCAAGGTCTTTCTGGATACTTTCCAGACATTAGGAAATATGGGCATTGTTTGGTGATTCCATGTGGTGTCTCATTTAAAAATCTTTCAACTTGTGGCAAATTTTCCTGCCATAAATAATGTTGTCTAGCACACAAAATTCTTAAGAATTTTACCACCTCTTTGACATATCTTTCTGCAGGATTAGATGCGGGTCTTCTGATACTAATGAAATTTAATTGGATTTTTTTTTCTTCACAAACTCTTTTTAATCTTGGACTTTCAAAATATGTGGCATGATCTAAGATAATTGTTTCTGGAGTACCTACTTCCTCTATGTATTTTTCTAGATAGTATTTTACGGTTTTTACATTTGTCCTTATTTAAATTATTTACAATGTTTTTGTTGATTAGAGTTACTTCTGAACCTGTATCTAATAATAACTTGTATACTGAATCTTGTATGTACCCTTCAATAAACTTTAAAGTATTAGTGTTATTATTTTTATTTAATTCCCCAGTATCTCTAATAAACTCCCTTGGATGTTCATACTTTGATAAGTAGACAATATTATGCACATAGGAGCGGTCTAAACAAAATTTCTCCCTTCTACATCAACACTTGCTTCCCCCCTATTCTCCTCTGTTCTAACTACATTCACCTGTCTTCTCTCCTCATTTTCCCCCCTATTATATCTTGGATTCCCTTCTCTGTAAACTTCCCTATTTCTCGTCTCCTGTGGATAATTTCCCTGGTTCTGTCTCCAATTATTGCCTCTGTCATTCCCTTGTCTCCAGTTATTCTCTCTATCATTGTTTGGATTCCCTTGTCTACGTTCCCAGTTATATCGTCCGATATCTCTCCTGACATTGTTCAAATTCTCTCCCCTATTTGTAAAATCCCTGCTTCTATTTTGTCTCTCAAATTCTCTTTCCCTATAATTATTCCCTCGATTCACATATCCCTGTCTATTTGCTGTGTTATTCCTATATGTCACTTGCTCTTGTCCATTTCGATTCTGCGTCCCTACACTCCTCTCAATCCTCTGAAGATATCCTGTCAAACTTTCCATCGTCTTTATATTGTGGAGAGCTATTGTTTCTGCCATGTTATGGTTATATTGCCTGGCAATGTATAGGACAATCTCCTCTTCTCGCATAGCCGGTTCTAAATATTGTGCTGTCTGGAATAACTGCATTGCGTACAGATTGTAGTTGGTACTTTTTTCATAATTGAATTTCCCAAAATACAACCGCTCCCTGAAACTAGCCTGTTGGTTTTCTCCCCAAAAATAGTTAATAAACTTGGCCTCAAATTCCTGCACATTATTTATGGAATTTTCATTATTGCAAAACCATAATAATGGCATGCCCACTAACATGTTTCGAATATTCAATTTCATTTCTATTGGATCCCTTACATTCTTTACCTTATTTTTGATGATATCTACAAATATTCTAGGATGTAAGTGATTCAGGTTTCCATCAAACTTTATTCCCCCATCATTATAACTCGGCACCACAGTACTCACTACTCTTGTTTGTCCTAGATTTGATTCCAAACGCTGAATCTCCTCACTTGCATTTTTAAATTTCTCTCTCAATTCCTCAACTTGTCCCTGTAATACTCTATCTCCCTTTTCCGCCTGATTTGCATGCATACCCATTTCCAGTTCCAAATTCTGCAATCCCTTCTTTATATTATTTTTTATAATGGTAATTTTTTCCTCATAATCCTGAGTTTGCCTTTTAACACTTTCTACCTCCCTAACAATCTCTTTATTCTGCTTATTAACTTCTTTGTTTATTTCCATTGGTAAATTCTCTTTAATGGCTGTTCCCAACTCTACAAATCTGCTCCCAATTTCCT